TTTCCATTTCCAAATTATTTACTTGAATTTACTATCTAAAAATCATCTCCAATCCAAAACCAACTTATATATCAAATTTAACCATTTTAAAAAATATTCCCATAGTTTATATGCTACTCCATCTTTTACATTTTTTGTTCATTACAACATACACTTATCAACCTTACAAAATTGGATCATCTAATTTTTGTAATATCCACCATTAATAGAAACAAGTATTATTAAATAATTTAACACCAAAATATGGCCATTCATTTGTGAGTAAATTTGTGTAGCTCTCTAAGAAAATCATCAAAGTATTTATCCATGGTAGTTGTTACACTTATCCAAATAAATAGTTATCTTTATAAATGAATATATATATGATCATTTAACTTTTTATATTTCTACTCGACAAATCCCTCCTCAACGAAGCTATATACTTTTTTAGGTAGGTGAACAAATTAGATGGATATTGACAATAGTTTAAGGGGATATAATAGTTTGAAATATGAATGGTTTTCATATTTACTATTTGAAAAGAAAAAAAATTGTCAAAATTGCATGATTGCCAATAGACACCATATATCTTCTTTCTTTGAATAATAATTCGAAATAATAAAACCAAATAATTAAAATAAATAAACAAAACACCATAAAACTCACAGCTCAAAATCAACATTTTCAATTTTCCAAAAATAATCAAAATTTAATTGAAATACCCGAAAATAATCAAAATAACATTTTACAATAAAAAAAAACACACTCAGATTTCAAGAAATCGCCACCTCTACTCATGCTGACGGCGGCTCCTCACCGCCTCTCTCCTCCGGCGGCGGCGCCGCCCTTCCCCCGCCCTCGCCGGAGGCCCTTCCGACCCGGTGCTCCACCACGACCCGACTCGGCGGCGGAATCGGATCGACCCGTCCGTCGATACAGGAGGCGCATTTGGTCTCGACCCAGCCTTCGAAATCGTACTTTGCGTGGCCCCTTATGCCCCGACCCGAACAGAGCCGCCCGACCATCACGGCCACGGCCCCAAGCATCAGGACCAGCGCCAAGACCCCGATAACGGGCCCGACCGACCCGTGGGCCGTATGGGCCCGGTAGGCCTGTTGGGCCACCTCCACCGGAGGTGGCTGCTGCTGCTGTAAAGGGTCCATTAATGGAGTAGAATTGTAGAATTTGTCACTTTTTTTTTTTGCTGAATTAATTTGTGGGTTCGATTAAAGGTGGAATCTTTGAACAGAATGGATAAAAAAGGCAGCTTTTTTCCAGCTTCTTGTTGATGATTGATCTTTGGTGTTGTTTGCTTTTAGGAATATTCTGAGTTGAGTTATCCCCGAAAAAAAAATAAACAGAGATAAAATTAATATTTGGGTTCAATTAAAGGAGAAATCTTTGAACAGGAGGGAAAATGAAGCTTTTTTCCAGCTTCTTGTTGAGGATTTAAGGTTGGATGGATGTTGTTTGGTTTTAGGGATATTCTTCAGTTATCCCAAGAAAATGATGGTTAAAGAGAGGGGATTTGTTGGGATTTGATAAAGGCTGGATTTTTATTTTTTATTTTTGCTTTCTGATCAGGAGGCTTAAGAAATTATAGCATCAAATTTTTCTTTGGATGTGTAAAGGAGATTGGGAAGCTGTGCCGGTGCCCAGGTTTCTCTTTCTCTCTTGATATATCTTTGTGATTTTTTTATTTTATTTTTTCTGAAAGTAATAAGCTTTTGAGAATGGAAAATTTTGAAGTAGAAAAGAGTAATGTGGAGTGTGGTGAAGGAAGTAATACTATTTGTCAATAGTACCTTTTGGGTCTCTCCCTAGTTTGAAAGCATATAAAGGGTTCTAAAAGAGCAAGATAATGTGGAGCTTTAACACCATCCAAAAATAACAAGATTTATTTGGTAGAGGGTAAAAAAAACGTAGGTGGAATTGTGTTTAAATCTATTATGAGATAGATAGCTATTTTTATTTTACATCGATCCACTAACCATTAGATCGATATATGTACTTATATTATAAAATGTCATGTTAGAAAAATAAGACAAACTAAAATATACAATAGTCTAGGTATTATTATTTTTAAAATATAATAAATTGATCCCGCTTGATAATTATACGTATAATAATTTGTGAACTCGCAATGCATTGAGTTTTATGTGCATTTAATTAATTGTGTGTAGTGGAGAAGTCTAGTCTATGTTAGCATGGCATAAACATTTTCAAGATAAACATGAAAAATTAGATTCAAAGCGTTGAAGATGATCTAATTCCAAAAATTGTATAAAAAAATTATGGGGAAGCATAATAAAAGGAATTTTAATTTTGGAAGTGTATTTTTCAAATTATGCATTCATTTCTCTTTTTTTGTTTATTTTATTTCATATAAAACAAATTGTTGAAAGCATATACTGTTGAATACATTTGGTATTGACATGACTTGAAAGGTTATGGAGAATGGGGATGGAGGAATAGTAGCTGCAGGGCTGGTAACAGAGGCAAAATTTGATGCCCTTTTCCAGTCTCATGTTCTGTTTACATTTTTTTTATTTTGGGTATTCTCAAGTGGGGCCCACAATGTCTTTCTGTATTTGGTTACAATGCTATTGATTCGTAGCTTTATGGACACAGTGATTCCTTTCCAAACCTTCCCAAAAGAATAAAAAAAGAAAATGAAGAAAAAAAAGACAGGACAATATTGGAAGTGTATCATCAATGATGGATTGGTAGGTTGCTAATTTTTATTTAATAAATATATATTTTTTCATTTATAAACAATCCGTGCTTTAAAAAATAATATAAATAAAAATATGATAAGTCGATGTAATATTCAAATAAGAATTTATGACAATAGATGAGAACGGATTTTAAGTAAGTTTAAAACCAATTTGAAGGGTTAGAAAGGATTATTATTAACTTGTGATGCTAGTTCCTTGAGATAATTGCAAATTTTGATTTACAAATTTTCGTGTAGGGCAAAATAAGAGTCAAGTATATCGATTCGTCATACTTTTAACTGTTGGGTGTGTAAGTTCAATCTCATATCGAAAAATTAAAAGTTTCAAATCCAATATATAAATTTGGTGGGCTATTTCTTCTAGTGTCAATTGATTTTAAAATGAAACTTCATTTGGACTTGTATATTGAACTTGATGGAGAACTGACTTGAATTATTGGTCCTAACATTAACTTATATATTGAACTTGATGGAGAACTTCATTTGATGATTTCAAACTTAAAAGTATATATGTTTTATTGAAAAGTTACAATATTCTTACCTGTCATTTGATGATTTCAACTTAAAAGTATATTTTTTTATTGAAAAGTTACAATTTTCTTAACTTTGCACCTGCCTGACAGTAGGATACCGTCGTTTTTTGTGTTCTCAAGTTGTGTTTACTTCTTAATTTGTGTTCAAATATCAAGATTTGATTTGAATAGTGCATGTTTTGAGTTTCAGTCAAATTTACATGTAAGGCAATTGTACTTTAAATTTTAGGGGCTACAACTTATGAGAGCTTACATTAGAGGAAAAGAAAAAAATAAAAATAAAAAAAAATAAAAAAAAAAATCATTGTTCTTGATTTGTATCTACCCGACAGGTGCATAGCCAGACATTCAATTTATATTTACAATTGTTTTGCGTAAAACAAATTAATGGTCAATTTTACGTGCCACACAAATTTTGCACCTTTTGACATATGAAACCGGTGGAAAAGAGAAATCTTTTGAGGCTAAAGCCAAAAGTTTTCTTTTAGTGGGTCAGCTTATAATAAATAAAGTTGCATTATTGCAAAATTTTATAAAATAAA